GATTTTAAATTCTATTCTGGATTTAACAGGAAGCCAATGAAGAGAAGCCAGGATAGGAGAGATATGATCTCTCTTTTTCATTTTTATCAGAACTTTTACTACTTTTTGAACTTTTAACTACAGATTGTGGACTTCCTGATAGTAAAGAATTACAATAGTCCAGCCTTGAAGTAACAAATGCATGGGCTAGTTTCTCAGCATCACCCCTGGACAGGAGATTTCTCATTTTTGTAACATTCCATTCAAGGGGATCTTTTGTATTGCTATTATCAGATGAAGAGGAAATAATTTATAGTGATTAAATGATTGACTTCAGTGTTTGCAAACCACTTGGATGCATTAGCAGGACCTTTTAGAAAAACATGTTTGAAACCAATAGCTTCATAGCCAGCACTGGTGTAAAAATCACCGGGACAGATTGCTGAAAATCAGCATCAGCATGAAAGACAAAAATATTATTTTTTATACAACTTGCATTATTCACATGGTGAATCAGTCTTAATCAGCAGAACACATTGACACAAATGAAAACAGATGTGGTCAAACTGTGTGCAGACTTCACTAAAAGTCTCCTGTATTATCTAAAATGATGATGCTTTTGGTGTTTCATGATGGGGTAATACATCTGAAACATTTGGGCTGATTTGTTGTCATTCACTAAAGCAGGACAGTGAATGCTTAGAGGGCTGACACTGAATATAACCAAAGAAGTTTGATCATTTTTATCCAAGTAATCACTCTACACATTTTAGATCAGTTTTATAGCCGGCAAAAATAAACAGTGACGTTAGTCTTTCGCTTTACTCCAGGTCAAGATTGCACCATGTTCCTATTGGCAGTTTTAAGGCTGAGGAGAGATTATTACTAGTTAGGATTATTCAAGGAGATTTGCAGCAAACGCCACATGTAGATCCACTATGCCTATCAATTTTTCTTTTAACTTATTTGTAATTTTTAATACTCAGTAGAATTTACTTGTTTTTTAAATATATTTTTTTTATTATCTTAATGTACTGAGACAAGCATATTTAATCCTTTGAACAGTGCCATAGTTTGGTTTATTATGTAAAATTATTGATATTCCTTGAACTTTTATCACATCTGCTACTTCCCAACCAGCAATGCTGATTTGTTGCATTGTGATTTAACGTGATGGACAAACAAACAAAAAGCAGCATTGGATTAGAAAGAATTATATAAAAAGAAAATCTGTATCTGTGTTCAGTCTCTCTAAACCAATGCTTCATAACACCATTGTTGTTATGAAGCAGTTACAGCTTTTAAGTCATCTCTACCAACAGATTGATCTTTTTGCTGATTCATTCCTGCTAACTAGGCAAAGCTACAGCGCTCATTTAAACTCTTAACCCTGTCTGTGTAAATATTTATGGGAAAAGTGTTTCATTTTTTAATAGTTTATTTTTATGTCTTTTTAAAAATATCTCAACTAAGATCAAAATCGAGCTAAAGGAAAAGACTTGTTTTTGAGCACAAACATGTAAATCTAATCCAGATTCTTTGATCTGATTTTTAAAATTAATTTTACGATAAAATTGTCATTAAATGTATTGAATGAGTGATCTTTGACTAGACCGTTCTAGAAAAAAGATCATGTGCCTTAAACAGAAGCATTTCCTTATACCTCTGGCTGCAAAGGAGAAGCACCAAACCAGTCTTAACCTTTACCTTAATAAATCAGGCGTAAACTCCGGATGGCTAAAATTGAAATAGGTAAACTATACAACTAGCTCCAGCAGAAATAATGAGGTTTTAGATGGCAGATAAAAAATCTTAATCTCTCAAAGAAAAATGTAAAGCGCCGATAGATTCAGGCTAACAATTTAATTTCAGAAAGTAGGTTCATATATTGAGCAGCTAGTGGTGTTTTCTGATTGGCCCTAGTGAACAAAGAGCAAAAGACCAATGAGTCACCTGATCTCTGGTCTTGAATGTTGAGTGAGGTTCACTGTATCGTCTTCAGTGAATGCAGAGGTGCCTTTACCCTGTAATCAGGTGAGACCATGGAAAGTGTTGGGATATATGGCTATATGCTGAGAATGATTAATATTTTCCCTAAACACCATATAAAAAAACACATACTCCTCAAAACTGCATTCAGTCTAACATTATGGCCCAAGTTTAATCCAAGCATTTGTGAAAAACAGATTAAATTATTGGAAGTAAGGACATTGCAGTATTTACTAATTTTAAGAAGAGTCTGATGCAATGCAGCTAGGGCTTAGCATGACACAGCAAATTCCCCTCAGCATGTAATGACCTCAGCTTTTCACCAGTTACATCAGTGTAACCATGACCACAGCGAATCCCCCCCTTTGTCCCTCACCTGGTTCCTCCATTAGCTCAAACCACTCTCCCCTTTAGATGCTGATCAAAAGCACAACATAAACCACAGCATTTCACAGTCTGCTTCATGTTTCTACCATCTGAGCACCAAGCCGTTCAAAGTACTACTATTTTAGAGCATCACATGTTTCTGTATCCAGAGAGGAAAGCCCCCCACTAAGGAGGGGCTTTCATGGATGGGAGATAAATGTGGCCTAACCTTATGTTGCAGCAGCACAGGTTGAAAAACGTGTCATGCTGTCAGAGCCTATTGGTTACTGCATCTGAAATGTGTTGGTGTGGATTGGAACATTTTGTACAAAAATAAAGGAACTTCACATTAAATTTACTACAGCTGAACATCGAATTTAATTTCAGGGCATAGTGCCTTGATGTTCCAGACAAGATGACCAGAGCGTTTCCCCTGATCACTGATTGTTCCAGTCTGGCAAAGAATCACAACCAATAACAATTAAAGCAAATGACAGAGGGAAAAACAACAGCTGCTATCTCAGTTTATTTCTTATGTCCATTACTTTCAACTGATAACAACTGATAACAAATTTACCAGTTTCATTTAAATAATCACATAAAAATACTAAAGTTGAGGACAAACAGAATTCATGCTCTTTTAAGAACTAAGTTCAGTTAACTAGCTTTTAACTACAGTTTGTGGACTTCCTGATAGTAAAGAATTACAATAGTCCAGCCTTGAAGTAACAAATGCATGGA